CCACAACCCCAGCCATTACGCTAACGGCTGGTTCCCATACCATTTTTTTTTTTTAAGAGATTTTTGCTATAGGTGCATGAGTTTACCAGAGACAAAGAAAGAGACAGAAAGTGAGAAATCACCCCTCAGGGGGATGGCAATGTTGTAGTCCCTTCTCCTCCATTCTTGGGAATTAGGACACATATACACAGCTGCCCCACAAGAGTTTTAAGCCACCAGGTCTGGGACTCAAACCACGGTTGACTACATGGGAGTCTAGTGACATAAATATTATCCCATCTGCTGGTCCCACCTTTCAGCTTTTCATATACAAGAATTGAACCTAATGAACACAGAAAATTTTCAGTTGGCCTTAAAATTAATGGAATGTAAGTGCTATCATTTACTTAATTTCTTATTTTCTTTAAACATTCAGTAAGTGAGAGAAGGAATAAATATAGGTAGCTATGGATTGTTAAATGTGAAAAAAAAAGTGTATTAGCCTGGCTGAGGTAAAGGTAAGGGAATTAGGTGGTATAGGGCAAATGATGTTTTAAGCAATTAAATACTAGTTTCAGTAGTTTTTATTTTATATAATAGGCAAAGAGGTAATGAGATTCTTGATATAGGATGTAAAATGATTCAACTGGTGTTTTGGGATCATGTAGGGAGCTCTGTATGGGAAAAACCAAACCACAGAGAGTCTAGAAACAGATATAGCATCAAAAAGTTTTAATTACATGTCAAGAGTTGGACCAGCATGGTATATAGGAAAATAGTATATAATGAGGAGTCAAGTAGAAAAATCTAAAAGTGGGAATGAAGGAAGACTTTAATAAATAAAAGACTGGGAGCCAGCAGGTGGCATAGTGGTTAAGACACTGGACTCCCACATGGCTGATCGCAGTTCGAGTCCTATACCTGGTGACTTTAAAATCACACTGGGTGAGTGTGCGTGCATGCCCAAAATACCAAGAGAAGAATGGAGGAGAAGGGATTGTGGGGTGGTCATTCCCTTGGGGGGAATGGGTGATTTCTCACTTTTCCTCTCACTATCTCTATCTCTGTTCAATGAGTACATAAGCCCTAGGGCAAAAGAAAACTTTTAAAAAATTAAAAATAAAAGACTGATGTGAAGAATCCAAGTGTCATTTCTACCTTGGGCATGTTGGCAAGATTTTTAAGTACATATCTTATACTAGCTTACACATCTTACAGAAATTTTAGTTAGCATGACTCAGGGCAAAGGAAACTGCACCAAGACAGCAGTGTCTCGGTACCTTTCATTGAGGTTGGTGTAATGTCAGGCCTCTTACCCTTTTACCCCTTTTTGACCATAGTTTGCTCATTTGTTAATAGGGGATAATAATTACTCAGATGTCTGAGGTTAAAATATTTGATAATTTCTTAAAGTTTCTCTAAGACATGTGGTTCTGGCAATCTGAGAGACCTAAAAAAGACAGATAGGCATGTAAACTGTACAGTTGCTTCCATAAAGCTGATGGTAGAATCTGTAACTGCAGATGCACTGCAGAGAGTAAGTACAGAAGAGCGGAATATGCCTAAGGAGCACCAAGACACCCATTTACCTTCATTTATTCATCAAGCACTCTCCTCCTCTGAGCACATGGCTAGAAATGTCTTTTCACGTGTACTAGGAGACATGTGAGGGTGTTTGTTGCAGCACCGTGTATAATAGCAGACAGTGGGAAGCATCAGAGGGGAAATCTATCTGAGAATTGACAAATAGAATAAACTTCACAAAATTCATATTGTGAAGTACCAGGTAGCACATTAAAATATATGTTATCCACATATATATGTCACCATACATTCATTTTTGAAAATGTTGAATAGAAAGGTCTATTATTTAAAAATACATAATATAAAATTATCTTTGTAAAAAATTTAAAATATAAGTCCAAACCAATATTTGTTGTATTCCCTAAATGAAGCCATGGATATAAAATCATGCTTGGGGAAAGTAAGTCAGAGCTTCTGCAGGAGAATTGAGGGACTGGATCGAGAAAGTAAATAACGCCATTTTAGATTAACCAACAGCATAGCTGGAGGCAAAGGCGAACCTGTTGCTTTTGGTATTTTGGACTTGCCTGCACATGACCCAGTGGGTTTTCAAATCGCTGGGTTCAGGACTTGAACCATGCAGCCATGTGGGATCTAGCCACCTTAACCACCACGTCACAAGCAGCCTCTTCATATAACTTTTGATTCCCTCCAAAACATAAATATAAATAGCCTATTGTTGACTGGAAATCTTGTCTATAGCATAAACAGTAAATTAACTTTTTTTAAAAAGATATTTTCGCTATAGGGCACATGTGCTCTCCAGAGATACACAGAGAGAGATAGACAGAAAGTGAGAAATCATCCCCCCAGGGGGGATGGCCACACCACAATCCCTTCTCCTCCAGTCTCTTCTTGAGATTTTGGACACACATGCACACATGCACGACATGAGTTTTAAGCTGCCGGGTTTGGGACTAAAACTGTGGTCTACTATGTGGGAGTCCAGGGATGTAACCATTATGCTATCTGCTGGTCTCATCATTTTATATGTTATATGTATTTCATGCTGTATTCTTACAGTTAATTAAACTGGAGAGAAGAAAATGTAAGTAAGAAAATCATAAGGAAGAAAAATCTATAATACTGTACTACATTTTTCAATATATTTATTGAAAAAAAAATCATGCAGTAGTGAAACCAGGCAATTTAAATCTATGTTGTTCATGGGTCAACACTAATGCAATAATATCAAATTGCTTAGGTAGGCTGCAAGGGTTAAAAATTTTTTTAAAAATGTCAGTTGCTTTTGGCAAATAAGGAGTTATTGATAACAGGGAAACATATTTCATGTGGTTTTCTATGCAGAAGCTAATTATTTTAAGCAAGAAATAATATAGAGTAGCAGTAGAGAAAAACTATTTTAGAATTCCACTCTTTATTCATTTATTCAGCAATATTTTATTGAGCTACTTTTGTATGTGCTAGTCACTATTCTAGTTACTTGGAGTAAGTCAGAGAATTTTTATCATCATGAAGCTTATAGGCTAATGTTAAATGGAAAATGAACAATGAATATAAGAAATAATTCATTATGTGGATTGTAAGCTGGTGAGATCCACTGTAGAAAAAACAACTAAGGGGGATCAGAAATATGAGGTTGAGTTTAAGTTTTTTTTACAACAGTGGCCAAAGTAGCCTCGCTGATGAGACAGTAAAGCAAAGACTTGACGGAGATAGAGGAGGGAAGCGAGGCGGATAGCTCAGGTAAGAACTATCAAGGCAAGACATCGAGTGGACAGAGTCCTGAGGAGTACTGGTATGTCTGAGGAATGGCAAGTCACAGTGACAGGGTTAGAATGAGCAAAGGAAGAAAAGTAGGAAAACACGTCAGAGAAGTTAAAGGAAGGGATGGGGCCTGATATTGTTGGAACTAAAGGCACAGCAGTTAAGGCCCTAGACTCCCATGTGGCCAACTGGGATTCAAGTCCCAGACCTGCTGGCTTGCTTTCTCATTTTCCCTTTCTCTCTCTCTGACCAAGTTAAAAATAATAATAATCAATAAAATTAAATACTTTTAAAAAATGCTATGGTAGGACTTAAGGTAGCCATAGAAGAGACAGGTTGCATGTACATTTTAACAGCATCACTGGGTGCTTTGTTGAGAATAAATTTTACAGAGTCACAGAGTCAAGGATACCTACCTGTCAGGACCTGGATGTTGTATTCCAGTTGGGAGATACTAACATTAGCCCAATTTAGGATTATAGCAGATGAGGCAGTAAGAAGTACTAGGGTTCTAGATCTAGCTGGCTATAGTCAACAGAACTTCCTAATGGGTTGAATGTGAAGTCAGAGACAGGGGCTTCTTAGATAATTCTGAGCTGTTCAGCTTGTGCAACTGGCAGGATGGAGTGGCCATTGCCTGGCAAAGAGAAGGCTGTGAATGAAGAATATTTTTGCTAATGAAGATTTCAGGTGTATGAATTTGAGATGTCTGTTAGGATAGTCATGTGGAAAAGTCATGTTAGTAGGATTGATAGAAGTGAATATAAGCTGGATGTATACATTTGAAACTCAATGTCTATCTGTCATTGATACTGAAAAGCTGAATGAGATGAGATGAGATCACCAGAGAGTGAACCCAGGAAATATAAGACAAAAGAACCCTGAAACACTATCATTAAGAAGTCTCAGAAGAGTGGAAGGAATAGCAAAGCGGCAACATTAAAGAAAGAGCAACCAATGAAGCATGAGGACATATGGTATAGTATGCATAGATCAAGGAGCAGAGAGAAATCACTTGTGTCAGATGCTGATGATGTGTTAGCTAGCCAAGAATCAACCATTGGAAAATAATCCAGCAGTTGGTTAGTTAGTGGAAAAAACCAGTTTAAGACGATCAAAAGGGCTGTCCCCATAGCCTAGTGATTAAGGAAGCTGGATCCCACATGGCTGACAGGAAACATGCTGGACACATGCGTGTGCATGACCCAATTCTGGCAAGATGGAAAAATGGAGGAAAAGGGATTGTGGTATGAGTATGCCCCATTCGGGGTGCTTTTTCCCTTTCCTTCTCTTGTCTCTCTCTGTTTTTCTGGTGAGTGCATGTATTCTGTGACAAAAAAAAAGAGAAGAAAAAAATGGGGGTCATAAAAATACATATTTTCAACAAATTAATTGGAAAGCATACAAAGTTTTTTATTTTTGTTTGTTTTTTTTTTTTTTTTACCAACCTTAAGCTGGAGGATTTTAGTACAGTTCTGCTGATTGAAGTTCTACATCTTTTTGTTTGTACAAACGAAACCTTTCATACATCATCTATTATTTCTAGTGTTTGAGTACTTAAGCACTTCTGTGATACAAACTAAAGGCAGTATCTATCTGGAGATTATTACATTTTTTCTAATTCCTTCTGTATATCATTAAGTTACATTTCTATCTTCCTTTTTAAGTGCTTCTAAAGTAGTCAACTTGTTTTTGTTTGTTTATTTGTTTTTGAGAGGTTTTTGCTATAGGGCACATGCGCTCACCAGACAGACAGAGAGACAGAAAGCGAGAAATCACACCCCAGGGCAGATGGCCACAACGCAGTCCCTTCTCCTCTGTTCTCCTTGTGGGATCTTGAGCATGCACACACACGCGTCCGGCGTGAGTTTTAAGCCACCGGGTCTGGGACACGAACTACAGTTGACTATATAGGAGTCCAGTGACATAGCCATTACGTTAACTGCTGGTCCCAGTCAACTTCGTTTTAATAATAACAGTAATTCATACTTCATCCATCTGTGGAATACTTAATTCACTAATTATAGTAATGAGTTCAATACATAGAAGATGTGAGAACAAAACAAGTGATTCTTAGTAAGAATCATGAAATAGGTTGTCAGGAAATAGATAGTCATGCATAGATAGAGCGAGGCAATTTACCCACATATAGCTGGATTTTGAGGCTCTATGATTGTCAGGCCACTATCCTAAGCACACTGACTTACAAAACCTGCCTCATTCATGACATTCTTTATGAAAGTAAGGAAGAAGACAAGAGGGAATTCCGGGTCAAGATATGAATCTCATTTTTCTCAGTTGTTGTTTTTGTTTTTGAAGAACTTGAGACTTGCTGAAGGGAGTCAATGAAGTAGAAAAGGTCAAAGATAAAAGGAAAAATAAACAGTTCATGCAGCCTGCTTACGAAGAAATTGTGAAGCGATGGGGAGACCCGAGTTAATGCCAATATAGGAAAATAGGAACACTATCCTCTTATTTTTAAAATGTTCACATCTGCTTATTTTATATAATAGTTTTGCTGGGGGAGTTTGTTGTTATTTTTTAGCTTTTTATTCTTTTATTCTTTTAACAGATGCTCTTAAAATACCCTTAAGGATTTCAGTGGGGGAGATTCAACCAGGCAACTATGGTTCTGATGACTTTGAATGTGAAAACACAGTATGTGCTTTAAATATCCGCAAACAGACATCATGGGATGATTTTTCAAAAGCAGTGAGTCAAGCTCTGACAAATCATTTCCAAGCAATCTTTTCTGATGGATGGTGGAGTCTGGAAGACATGACATTTAATAACACCACTGACTCCAGTGTCGGCCTCGGAGCAAGCAGTGTACGATCCATCTCACTAGGTATCAGCCATTCTACAATAAAGTCAAAGTTGAATTTCTAGCTTTGTTTGTGGGTTTCATAACCTGGTATTTACTTTATTGATTAAGCCCATTCAAAGCTCACTTGTGGCAGCTGCCAGTGCTGAAAAACTTAAGGATTCATATGCCATTATATAATGTTGCTTGTTAATATAAAAATGCTTTTATGCTTCAGATAACATTCAGAGAGTAAATAACATAAAAGCCCTTGATGTGGCTTTGTGATTGTGCTTGCTGTTCTAAATAAATGTAAACCGTCTACCCTGCAGCTACCTGCTAATGCACAAGTTCTCCCAGCTCCAAATTTGTTTTAGGCTCTGCAAGGTTTACTGTAGTGCATTAACCCCTTACCTTCAGGCCAGGTGTCCTAATGAAGTCTAGAAATGGAGGAAGCACCTTAAGGAAGACATGCTGAAAACTCCTTGTGGCATGAGTTGGGATAATAACTGGTTATTTCTACTTGATGGACACCACAAAGCAGACTCCAAAGAACTTATCATAAAGATAAGATTTAGGGGCCAGCAGATGGTGTGGCAGTTATGTCACTGGACTCCCATATGACCAACTGCGGTTTGAATTCTGGACCTGGTGGCTTAAAACTCATGTTGGGCATGTATACATGTGTGCCCAAAATCCTGGGGGGGAGAACAGAGGAAAAGTGATTATGGTGTAGTCATCCCTCTGGGGGGTGATTTCTCACTTTCCCTCTCACTGTCTCTGTCTGTCTGTCTCTCTAGCAAGTACATATGCTGTAAGACAAAAACCTCTACAAAAGAAGATAAGATTTGCTTTCTCCTGATCTTATTCAATGCTCTATTAATGTTATTCATTCCTGCTTAGTTTGTTCTTTCTTGGCACGGGAGAACTACATGTATGGGAAGCCTTCTTCACAAGGACTGTGCTGGGTACTTCATAAACCATTATTATGACAATTTCATTTTACAGACAGCTCAGGTACTCAGTGACTTTCCTGAGGTCACATAGTAAATGAGCAAAGCAGTGAGAATTCAAATTGCAGTCCGTGCGACAGGAAAGCTTGTACACTTTCAACAGTACCACCTTGCAAAAGAGTGGTCGAGGTTGAGGGAAAAGTGGGTTTTTACCTATGAATGTATTCATGTATCAGCTTATTAAATCAGAAAGTGTTTTATTCTGGTCACTCATATATACTAGCTTTTCACCAAAACTTACGTTACCACCAGTTTTTAGAGTAAATCATTCATCACTAACTTAGTTTCATGGATCTTTGGCATAATCTTTCAAATTATTGTTATTTTAATGAAATTGTTCTTATGTAATTAAATAACTCCATGAAGAAAACAAGCCATAAATGAATCTTTTTTTTTTTTTTTGAGAGATTTTTGCTATAGGGTGCGTGCGCTCGCCAGACAGACAGAGAGAGACATAGAGACAGAAAGCGAGAAATCACCCCCCAGGGGGGATGGTCACGCCGCCCGGCGTGAGTTTTAAGCCACCGGGTCCGGGACACGAACCGCAGTCGACTACGTGGTAGTCCAGCGGCATAGCCATTACGCTAACTGCTGGTTCCCCTCATGAATCTTAAGAACATATTTTGCTGACACAACAGAGTATCACTCAAATTATGATTCTGCCTAGGATTCTGATCAAGTCAGCAGGACCATTGTAGAAGGAAGTCGTCCTCCATGATTCCTTACCCAGCTAACCTGGGAACTGGCAAAGGCATATATGGACAGTCACCAACCTGGATAACTTTACCTCTGTGGACAGCAGATGCTAAGGCTTGATGGACTGTTCTAGTGTTCATGCTTATCCCCAGAGGTAGAGAGCATCCTGCCAGCATTTCAGATCTAAAAATCTTTGAGTTTTATGGGTAAAGGATTTAGATTAGTGCTTGACTGTAGCCACTTGATAATTGGTCATTATGATATTGTCATTAATGTATGTATGTAAGTGATTTTGCTGGATCTATAAACTAGATTAAAGGAATGTCAGGCCAGCAGATAAATGGAGTTGTAGGTGGGTCTGTGTGTGTATGGGATAATGCTGGAAGTAGATATTTAAGAATCGATCCATGGAGACCCAGCTGCCGTGGTGCTAGCTGGTAGGTGCTGATGTTACACAGGCTGAGGCCACATGGAGGCCTGTGTTCAATTCCCTGGCCCATCCTAAAAGCTGGTTATGATGGTACTCACCTGTAGATCCAGCTGGTCAGGAGGCTGAGACAGAAGAATTACAATATAGTGAGAACCTGCCTTTAAACAAAATAAAAAATAGATCTGCAGAAAGAGAAATAAGCACATACTTATGACCATTCTTTCCTTAGAGAAGACTGCTATGAAATGGGACTCTTTGTGAGCCAGGGGGAGCAAGAGTACCCAGACTGTGAGAAGGCTCGCCTTATTCTGAGCACCCAAAATTTTCTGGTTGTTGTTGTTGTTGTTTTAAGGGTAGAATCTAAAATTTTGCTGAAAAGTGATGCAGGGACCTGAACATAAGGTATCTTATATCTCAACTAAAGTCTCTGGGCTTTAAGAAGCAGTCATTGAAAGAACCAGGAAACAGTTTAGGTTATAATTAGGTTTGCTCCTGAGAATTTAACTCTAGAAATACTTGATTGAACAGTATTTTTGCTCTATAGGTACCTCTCTCAACACCTCCTAAAGACTGTTGAGGTCAGCAGATTGCAGGTCTTCCTTTTGACCTTCCAAAGCAAAATTACGAAGGAGTTAACCTCTTGTGTGCCCTTTTCATGTTCTATACATGCCTTTGATAATTTAGACTCTGGACTCTCCTTAGGGTTCTCATAGAGGAAAGCATATGTTTACCTTCAGGAGAAAAATGACTTTTAAACTGCCCTTGACACTTGATGTCATTGTTTGGAACTAGGAAATGTGCCGTGGTCAGCTGGTCAGACCTTCAGCCAGGCCCCATGGGACTTCGTGAGGAAGAACAAGGCAGAGCAGGTGACTGTGCTCCTGTCAGGTAAGAATGTTGAAAGACATCTTGCCTCCTGCCTGGCTCACAGAATCAGTTCTCAAGCCTGCATGTTTTGTACTGAATCTTCAGGATGCAAGCATGTGACCCCCAGTACGAAGTAGTTAAATTCTTTTTAAAGGAGTAAAAATCAAAAGCCATGATTTTCTGACACCTGCAATGACGTCTTTCCTGAGTGCTGATTCTTGCATTCCAATTACATCCCTTCTTGTAAACAAACCAGAGGCCAAACTGACTTGCTGTTGAGAAAGTGATAGAAAAAGTGTTAGAAGTGCCTTTCTTGCTGTCAAGTACAATGGATTTCTGATAGGATTTTCATAATGCTATAGGTTAGTTTTTAGTGAACAACTGCTAGGTGCTATAGCATGATTCAGGTATGACATCATATAATCCACTCCCAACCCAATGGACATGTATTTCTGTTTATCGCCATTTTATACACCAGGCACTTGAGACTCAGATTGACTAAGGTTATGCCACTAATAAGAAGTCTAGGAATACTTAGTTTCTTGCTCAGCCCATGATTCTAAGAGTCTGCTGATTTCATGATGGTTTTTCCATCCTTGGAAATGGTATCTTAAAATATTCAGTCTCACCTCTTAAGATTTTATTTTAACATTTGAACTATTCTTACTGAAGTTTTGAATTATCTTTTTCTTCTTTTTGTAAAGGGTAAAAGTTCATTCTAGAAGATTCCTTTAGACCTAAACAATGTACTGAGAGAGAATGGTAGAACTTGGGATGGGAGTGGGGGGAATGGACCTAAAAAGAGACCTCAGATTATGTATTAATGTTGGCTGAGGCTGAAACTTTCTGAGCGTTGGGATTACATATGGTAACCTTTGCTTAAAACTGGTAAGACACTGAACTCAGCACTTAGAGCCAGTGTTGGGGCTGGGGTCTGGAGGCTGCAGCTGTGGTTGCTGGGAGGCGAGTGGGTTTCCTAGAGGGGGTGGAAGGGACAGCTGGGGAGCTATTGGAAGGCCAGGAGCAGTGACTGTTTACCAGCCAGTACAAAGTGTGACAATATTTTCACAATAGCAAAGGCTCACTGGTACTTCCTGACCAAACATCAGCTCTGCCTTCATAAGTCACAAGCATATTTTATTTTATGATAGATTCTGTTGTGTTTTGATCACTTATATTTTAGAAGGAAGAGCCAGTTTTCCTTCTGAACATTTATTTCTCACAGGTCCTCGAGAAGGCTGCCTCAGTAGTGTGACATACGCATCCATGATCCCTCTTCAGATGCTGCAGAACTACCTCAGGCTGGTAGGTGGACACTGCCAAGTGCAGGCCTACACTTCCCAGACCTGCCACTAGAATAGCGAGTGGCCCGTTTTTGTGCTTACAAGAGTGCAAGCCTCTGCCCACCCTGTGCCCTATGCTCTGACTCTATTGCCTTCCCCCTGAGCTCCCTCATTGGCAGGCTGCCCGTCACTTACTCTGAATTTCAGACATTGATATCCAGGTGTCCATTGTCTGGACCCAAACACCTCCTATGACTTGTGAAGTGTTATAATGTAGGCTGGAGGGAATTTTCTTCTCTTCACAAGGAATTGGCATCAGATAAATAATCCTCAGGCCCAGCTATGGTGGCACAGGTGGTAGGGCAGCATGGTGCAATGCTGGAGCCACATGGAAGGCCCAGGTTTGGATCCTAGGTCAACCTAAACACACTAGATATGGCAGTTCACACCTGTAATCCTGGCTAACTCAGAGGCTGGGGAAGGAGGAGCACTGCTTGGTGAGACCCTATGGAAAACACGATCTCCTCTTCCACTCTCTCTCTCATTGGAAAAAAAAAATCATCCTCATCAATATAAATATCAAGTGGCCTTACTTTGAACTTTGTTTTTAAACTTTATTTATTTCTTTCTGTCATGAGCAAGCAAGAAAGAGACAAAGACAGCATCCCTCACAGGATCTGGCTGCCACGATCCATCCCCAGTCTCAGCTGGCCCAGGTCATGGGTGTGCCATGCTCACTATACTCAGGAAAGTCTCTAAACACAGACTCGGAGCTTCCATGTGGATCAACCTCATGTGGATCAACCTCCTAGAGGTTGATCCATTGCATTTCACCCCAATGGCACCATTGGCCCTCCTGTCATTTAAAATTGGAAAATTACACTTGTATTAGTTAGAAAATTGAGTTGACCATATTAACAGAAGTATTAGTTATAGCTTTAGTAGGATAGGTGTTTATTGTTCTCAAATATGTAAGTCCTAGTAGGTGAAAGGTACAGGGAGGGGGAAGGGTGAGGTGACTGCTGCAGGGTCTTAGCACGTTCTCTCAGTGCTCCCCTATCCCCCAGCATGCTGTTCGTGCAGCTTGGTCAAAGGCACTTATGCTTGCACACCCACATCCTAGGCTCGGAGGGCAAGCCCCTTCCTTTCAGAGGGTTTACACCCATTATTCCTGTCTGTATCTTTTTGACCAGAATTTAGACACTTACTCACACCATCTAGGAAGTGTTATCTTTTGCTGGGCAACCATGAACCCACTCACACTAGGGGGTTTGTTTCTAAAAGGAAGGGAAATATGATTATCAAGGGAAAGTGGCAAATTCTGGATACAAAATGAATACAGGTAAATGTCTCGCTGTCATTAAATACTTACAACATGCGAGGCAATTTCCTAAGTGCTCTTATGCATCTTATTTATTTTTAAAACATCCCTATGTGATAGATAATTTTATCCATTTTATAGATGAGGAAACTGATGCAGAGAGAGGTAAAATAATATGCTCAAAGCCATACATCTGTTAAGTGATGAAGCTGAAATTATGCAGTTTCTGATACGTCATGTCCATGTGCGTAAGATCTATCCAGAACTAATACTAATGGTATAAAGCATTAAGCAAACAATGATTTTGCTTGCTGTCTTAATTTAGACAGCCTTTAAGGAAAATAAATGAGTTAGATTATAACTCTTACAAAAGTTGTTTTCATAAACTATAAATTGATGTGTTTGTCTACACTTTTGATGAGAAGTTGTCAAGGGGCCAGCCAGCCTGTGACGTGGCAGGAAAAGAGCTGGATTCCACATGGCCATTGGTGCTCTGGATCTGGTGGCTAGAGGGATATACCTGGTGCGTGTGCATGTGTGCCAAAAGCCCCCCAAAAAAGGTAGAAATGAAGAGATCGTGGCATGACCATTCCCCATGGAGGATTCTCTCTCTCTCTCTCTCTCTCTCTCTCTCTCTCTCTCTCTCTCTCTCTCTCTCTCTCTCTCTCTCTCTCTCCCTTCCTCCCTCTCTCTGTCTCTGTCTCTGTCTCATGTGCATGCACATACCTCTTTCGTAAAATTTTGTTTTGAAGTATTCAAAACTCTTCCATTGATCTTTGTTAGGTTGAATTGGAACTGGACATTGTACAAGCACCCATAGTAGCACATAAACATTCAAAAGCCTTACAGTGTGGGAGAGGTGGTGTCTCCCCAACCTGATACTTTCACTTTTTTTTTCTTGCTATTTGATCCCCCTTTCCCAAAGCATCTAAGTTATGCCTAAGGGTTATGTGTGACAGGAAGGAGATGGGTCTCATTCCTTTGCTTAAGTGAAGGTTAGTGGTATAACCATCTGGTTTTCAGGAATGTGAGCCTCAGGCTCAGTAAAATCAGAGGTGGAACTGTGTCTTTCTCTCCCTTTCTCCTCTTAATTTCTCTTTACCAGGCAAGATTCCAATCCAGGGCTTCTCATTCTGTTTTGGTGGTAAAAATGAATAGAAAAACCATGCAACTAAATAACAACTGCATGTTAGTGTTTACTGACAAATTTGTGCTGTTTACTAGTCCCTGTATTTGTAGACTATTCTAAGTAGACTTCTGTGTATGCCTCCTAATGCTTAAAACATAGTTTGATTACCAGTGACCAATGCACCAGAGATTAAAATAGCATGATTGTTCTAGTCTCAATTTAGGAGTGTATACAAAGGGCTTTAAAAAATCTAAGCACTCTTGAAAGAATAAAAATTATGCACTTCCCCAATTACTTCAAAATTTGTAGGGACAGAAGCTCATAATAAATTATAATGATCGTGAATATTTCTTCTTCTATGAGCCACTTAAGTGGATCGGCTTTGCGTTCTGCATTTTTATATGTTGTTAGTTATTGAATTTAGTTGTTAGATAACTGTGTACTGAGAGTCTCCTAACTGCCAACAATATTTTAGGAATATAGCTATGTATAAGATACTTTCTCTGAGATCATAGATGTTACACTCTAGAAGAAGAAGGCAGATTTTTAAAAAATGATAAACATGGGCCAGCAGGTGGCATGGAAGTTAGGTTGGCTGGATCCTACATGGCTAACTGTGCTGTTCAAGCCCGAGACCTGATGGCTTAAAAAGCACACCGGGCACATGTGCGTGTGCTCACAATTCTGGAAAAATGGAGGAGAAGGCATTGTGCCATGTCCATTCCTCCTGAGGGGTGAATTCTCACTCTCTTTCTTGTTCTCTCTGGTGAAGGCATTTACCCTATAGCAAACTAAAAAAGAAAATAAATAAATACACACATAATATGATGAGCACTAACTATAAGAACAAAGAAAAAATAAAGCAGACAAGGTGATAGAGTGGGTAGAAGAAAGAAAGAGCTAGTTTAGTTGGTGTTGTTAGGCAAGACCTTTCTATAGTGCCATTTGCACAGAAAACTACATGAAGTGAAAGAGGTAGCCCTGTAGAGAGTAAAGAGAACGTCTGATACAAAGGTGTCTAGACAGGCCGTGAGGTCCGAAAAATTGCCAAAAAGTAGGTTATTGCAGTCCATGACAAAGACTTAATTTTATTCCAAGAAGCATAAGAAGCTACAAGAGGAATCTGAGCTATCGAGTACCACATCTTCCCCTAGGGCCACAAATAGCTGTAGAGCTTTGCGATGTGTTCATATTGTTGGAAATTGGCATAACAGATGTGCAAACAGGACTAGCTAACTTCTTTTTGAGCACTTGTGACATGCTAACCTCTATCCTAAGTGTGTGGATTATCTCATTCAGTCATCCTATGAGATAGGAATTTGTACCGGTTACTCACATTTTAAAAGTAAGTAAGCCAAAATTCAAAGTAATTTACCCCTCTCCACCGAGTAAATGGGGAGTTGAACATACGCGTCTACTGTACTCATGTGTGTAACAGTTCATACTAGTTACTAGCTCAATGATTAAGTAAAAATTGCAGTAACCAATTTTTACTGTGTGCAAATGTATCATACAGAAAGAATGTGTTAAGATCCTTACACAGGGGTCAGTTGGTAATGTAACAACTAGACCCCAGGCAGCCGCTTGTGTTCCTGGGACCTGGGCTGGCTGAGGCTGGGAGGGGATCATGACATGGAGACCCTGTTGGAGGTACCTTTCTCTCCCTGACTCTCTCTTTGGTTCCCTCTCTCTCATGGAGCAGATAAATAAAGAAACTTGGGTAGGAATGAATAGAGAATATCCCTGTGCAGAAGAAAACACATGGAATAAAGACTTTAAATCAAGCTTTTTGTTTCTGGTTTTTTGTTTTTGTTTTTTAAAGTGATATTATTTTTAAACACTTTCATTGAATTTTAAAAAGAATATAGGTTAATTTGAAATGGCCATCCTTGCATTAATAAGCAAAATATTTAACCTGAATGTGAATCACTAATACTTTGTTATAATAGTTGAACTTTTTTGTATTAACTTAACCCAAATATTCCTTTCAGCTGTTTTCAATTTTTAGTAGCTTATTTGTAACCTTGTGTTTTAATAATTCAGTGGCTATAAATAATTGTTGTATCAAAAAAATTCTTGAGTAAATCATACCACTCTGTGCACTACTTTAGTGTTAAGACTCTGAGTCCTCTGGGATAGGGTCGTAAGATTTTTCCTGTTGATTCTTCAATATGTCACACTAATCAAGAGTCACCACTAGGAGAGTCTAATTATTCTCCATCCATTACCAAAATAAATTTCCTACTTTGCCATAAAAATAATGTTGTAGGGACCAGAGATGGTATAGTGGTTATATCACTGGACTCCCACATGGATGATCACAGTTCAAGTGCCAGACCTGGTGGCTTGAAACTCATACCCACCGGTGAATGTACATGTATGCCCAAAATCCCAGGAAGAGAATGGAGGGGAAGAAATTGCAGCCTCACCATCTCCCTGGGGTTGATTTCTCACTTTCCCTCTTACCGTGTCTGTCTGTCTGTCTGTCTGTCTGTCTCTCTCTCTCTCTCTCTCTCTCTCTCTCGTGAGTGCATGTACCCTAGGGCAAAAATCTCTAGGGAAAAAAATGTTG